TTGGCAGCTATTTTATCTTCCGTCACATCGTATACGATAGGTATCGAAAATAAACCATTACAATGGCTTTGTTGGCATTTTAGTGCACACATTTTATAATTTTATAACATTATTTATTTTGTATAATTTTTATAAACCCATTTCATCTCGTGATTTCGTTAAAGCTTACTTACAACCAACTTTTGGTGCCCCTTTGTGAGATAAGTAAAATGTATCATCATCGTTTTAAAGCCCCCTTTCTGCATCAAAGCGCGGTCAGAATATATATGAACCTCGTGCGCGGGGAGAAAGGTGATTTTGCGATACTGACATAAAGCCGATCCGCGCTTCTCTGATAATCTAGAACTCTACCTTTTGCCAGCTATCGCTGAAGAAGGGAGGGGAGGATCCAGACATAACCTCTTGACATAACCTAAATTGCGTGGCGGAGCGGTGAGAGGTCCTTACGCTGCTCCGTTTTACGTTTTCGTTCTCGCGAATAGACTTTCGCGGCAGAAACAGCTGATATGGCCGAGTTGCTGTTGGATCCGAATATCCGCGGCTGGGTATTCTTGCCTATAGTAGTGATCACGTTTCTAGTCGGTATAATCCGCCACTATGTTTCGATATTGCTCGCCTCGCAAAAGAAAGTCGAGCTCCATCAAGTGCAGGATAGGTAAACGCTTAAGCACACGTTGACTAAGTGGTTTTCGCACGTGAGGCTGAAAATTAATCACGACATTAAATATCTTGCAGTCAAGTCATGATACGCTCCCGACTCCTCCGAGAGAACGGACAGTACATACCGAAAGTAGGTTTTATGACCAGAAGACATTTCTTCAACAACGAAGAGACTGGGTATTTCAAGACTCAAAAACGTCCGCCCGTCTCGCAAAATCCTATGACCGATCCAAATATGATGACCGAGATGCTGAAGGGAAATGTTACCAATGTCTTGCCTATGGTACTGATCGGTGGTTGGATCAACTGGATGTTCTCTGGATTTGTGACAAGTATATAACGTTACGATATTGATTATTTATATTTATTGTGTATTTATTAACCCTCAACCGGAACACTATCTGTATTTCTCGATTCTGGAGCACTGGGCGTGCCACACCCTCAACGTTTTCAATCGCGTATATATCTTTGTATGTAATGCATAGAATTTGAACATTTTTTTTTAATCGACACGTCAAACTGTTCGAAAGAAGGATAAATGAGTGCGAAAATCGAGAAATTGAAAATATTCGAGTTATTCAGGAGAAAAGGAAAATCTTTTAATTTCGATTTTTTTTTTTTAAATTCCCTGGATGTACTAGAGCACCCAGAGCTCCAATTGAGGGTTAAATGTGATTCCTTATGCTAAATTTTGGATTTTTAACTAAACTCAAGATTATATATAATTTAACATGAATAAATGCTTTAATTTCCAGCTAAAGTGCCATTTCCGTTAACACTACGTTTCAAGCCAATGTTGCAACGTGGTATAGAATTAGTTACATTGGACGCTGCGTGGGTTTCCTCAGCCTCGTGGTATTTCCTCAATGTATTTGGACTAAGGTCCATTTACACGCTTGTACTCGGCGAGAATAACGCTGCGGATACCACGAGACTTGTGCAAGATCAAGTGTCGGGCGCTGCGATGTCCATGCCACCTGATCCGAAAGCAGCCTTCAAGTCTGAATGGGAGGCGTTGGAGATCTGTGAACATAATTGGGCGCTACAAGGGGTAGATGTCGAGCTCATGGGTATCCAATCGAAAGCGGATATGGCTGATAGCATATATCATCAAGGCAAAGCAAATTGATATTTAGGATTTAAATTATTTTACAAATTCCAAAAGAATCTAATTTATTTGTAAGTTAAATAGCAATTTGCAGCATTTATCTAAGGAATAATATAAAGATCTTTGTTTTTTTTAATAAATAAAATGATAAAAATATGATGATGTATTTTAATTTCAACAAATTGCGATAACAATAACAATCTTAAGCAGAAAATTGATAAAGATAATATATTATTTTATTCTAGATTTTTATGTCGGGTTCCACTGAATATACAAATCTGTTTTAAAATCATTTAATTACAATCACTTATTTACTTATTAAACTCTTTGTATTAAGTGAACTTTTGACACTCCATTTTGGAGTACAGATCCGTGCGACGGTGTTCCTCGCACGGCATATTTTTCCTGACTTTTTCCAGTAGTGCGAGATCAATTTCTGCCGTAGCTATACCCGTTTTTTCCGCGCATTGCGCTACGACGGCGCCCCAAGGATCCACAATCTGAAAATAAACGAATTTTAATTTGAGAGCAAACAAATTAAGATTAGGCCAAACTAATTTAATTTGAGAAATTTAATATTATCGAGAAAATAACTATTTACATATTAATAACTATCTACAAATAACAGATCATTTACCATGGCATGACCCCAGCTCACTCTCTTCTTGTTGTGCGCGCCGGTTTGCGCCGCGGCTATGACGTAACACTGATTTTCCACGGCTCGCGCTCGCAGCATCACCTCCCAGTGCGCGGCACCGGTTTGATACGTGAACGCCGACGGATACGTGAGAATCTGCGCTCCCATGTTCCGTAAAGTTAGCGACAGCTCGGGAAACCGCATGTCGTAACACTGTGTTCATTGTTAAGTTGTTGCTATATATTTGCAATTCATATAATATAAAAAAAGAAAATCAGAAATCTCTTGTTCTAATTAAGGATACAATGCTAAGCGCGAGCCTGCCGATCGGTGTTGGCACAGGCGGCACGATTTCGGTCCCTTTAAGCACATAGTCCGATTCCATCAGGCGTACTCCGGTATCTTTGTTATCCATGTCGAATAAGTGTATCTTTCTGTATGCTGCCACCAACTGTCCATCATTATTTATCAATATATGCGTATTGTAAATCTTTTCCACATTATCGGACTGAAATAACGAGCGTTTTTATGTATTGTTAAAGAAATAGATATCTTTTATGTACTTATGTAAATTAATGTAAAACAGAAATTAGTCCTTTCTGAGCTAGATCTTCGTGTTTAATAACATATTTTCATGTATGAATTTACATATATCTTCAGTTCTGTAAACTACGTACCGATTTTCTTGTGAAACGCAATCCTTAATTGACAAGCAATTTAATGATATTGATACTAATATAAATTAAGATACTTATTAGTATCAATAAACAGTATCATTAAACAAGGGCTGCCACAAAAAATTTTAAAATTTCCTGACTTTTCCATGATTTCCAGACAATGGAAAATTTTTCTTGGTCAGTATCAAATATATAATTCTAAATTTTAATGTTTAGAAGATATATATTACAGATATGTATTACAAGAAAAGTAACTTATATTATTAGAAGCAACATAAATTTAGAAGTTAATATAATCCCAACATAACATCCCAGAATAACATAATATAATCCCAAATGCAAATTTAGGCCAACAAATTGATATAACATTGCTTTGACATTGATGTTAATTATGCATTAAATTACAGAAAAAAATTCCTTTGGTATAACTGAATTTTTCGTTGCTTGGGACCAGACAAAAACTCAGTAGTAAAAACAGAAAGATTCCTGTAGACATTTCTTTAATATCGCTAAATATTCAGAATATTTTCGATTGCGATAACAGAAGAGAAGTCTCGAACAAAATCGTAATATTCGAAAATTTTTTCAATTTTCATACAAAATCATTTCATTCTGTTGTCTATTGTTTAATTCTGAAAAAGGATTTTCAAATCAGAAAAAGCAATACATACAAAAACATTGTACAAAAATTGAGTTTCGTCGATAAAATAAATAATTCCCTTAAGGAAATTGTGAGCAAAGTTCAAAATTCCAGGCTCTTTTATATTTTTCCCTGACTTTTCCAGGTTTTCCCTGACTGTGCCAGGTTTTCCCAGTTTATTCCAGGTCTGTGGCAACCCTGTTAAATTACTTGTCGATTTAATTTGTAATATTATCCCAATATTAATTAGAATCAAGGCTGAAAGTTAAATCAGCGCTGGATATGCATATCTATAAATTCACATTGAAATTATTTTATTAAGTATGAAGATCTAGACACCGAAAAGGCATTTTTCTTATAGTTGTGTTATCTAATGTCACGTATTGTTAGAAATTAAAGATTTACAGCTTCGTGAATTCCACCCAAGGACAACCAGATATCATTCTTGGCAGCGATCTCTTTATAAGACGCCACTGTCTGTCCAGTCAAAGGTTCAGCCATGGCGATGATGTCCTTCTTGTTATCCGCCAAAAAGTCGCAAGCTTCAGGAAAAAATGCTATCTGCAAAATATAAAAAGATCAGAAGAGAGAAGCGTTATCGCAATGTCATGCAATGTATATACAATATATGGTATTTGTTGGACGAGTGTATGTACGTACCGTGACCGATCTGCGTTTAGCCTCGGCTACCAATTCGCTCACAACCTCCAGATTTTTCACTTTGTCAGCTATCGATCGCATTTGGCATACTGCAATTAGTGGATGTGCCATTGTGCTGATTTGACGTCTCGCCGGTTGTACGCTGAAATGCAATAATTTTATCTCATAAACGTAATAATACTAATCTTTAACACAATGAGAAAAGCAGCTTTTTTTTATACAAAAAAGTAAAAGAAAAGGCGGGCCTATATATATTCTGTCATTTTTTACTTTGACACTGTTTTTTTACTTCCACATAATTTTTTATTTCATAGACTTTACATTAATCTCTTACCTGTAACATTTCAGAGTAAATGACTGGGCGATAACGGGCCACACGCGCTTCATTCTTATCGCATTGTTGATTATTCACTGTGCTCTATCACTTATATCATATGTCAATTGATGTTGCTCTTGCAGTCTGCAGAGTCGATGTATCTCTAGAGATTCTAGAGTTTGTGACGTCACTACGCTGTCTTTGATTTTCAAAGTGACAATGTAGTGTACAATAGGTCTATTTTAATTATTTTTTTCTTTCTCTTAGTATATACATATGTATATATATATATATATATATTTATTTTTTTATTTATTTCATTTTAAACCTTGGAATTACGACATGCATTCACGGCCATTCACGCGACGTCACCGGTCACCTCGTATTGGTTCATAACTAACTTTAGATATAGATGCTGTATCAGCTGTATGTACTTGTCGATCAGCTTTGAGAAGATAAATACGTGAAATACGTCGATAAATACAGTTTTGTGACGCAATTATTATGGAAAATGTAATGATTGCTTGGTGCAAGGACTTTTAACATATTTATGTAAGTGTCATCTTGTGAATAATTGTGAAATATGAGAATTATATGTTTACTGACACAAGAGATATAACCTCTTTTTCGAATTTCCTAATGAAATGCGGTTCTTATTGTTTTTGTAAACATTTTGCAAATTTTATTACACGATATTAAATAAGTTAACTTTTATCTTTTTTGTAAACACGGATAATAACTTTTTGTGAGTCACGATATAATAATAATCTTAAGATGCAAAATGTACATATAGGTTGTCTCAACATTGTCATAGATTAATGCAACTTTAATTTGAAATTTAATTGTCAAACTCATTATTAAAAATTCATTCATTATTAAAAAACAATTGCTTTTGAGTAAATTTTACTAAATTTAAATTTAAATCTTGACTGAATTTTATTTAAGAAAAATTTCTAAAAAAAGAATAATCTGTGGTTGTTGTATGTATATTGTACAATATTTATAGATTATTATTTCCTTTTTTCAGATTAGATTCCTTTGATAAAATTTAATCAAAAGCGACTGATTTAATAAGCAATTTGACAACTAAATTTCAAATTAAAGTTATATTAATCTGTCGCAGTAAAGGACAATTTGGGACAAGCGTTACAATTTGTAACATTTCATATTCTTTGTAAATGCTCTAATGTTATCTCTATTATTATTAATAATTAGGATTGCTCAGAAATGGAGGATATTTAAGCAATAACGAAGAACATAACTAAAGAATACAACGGATTCTATAGATTATAATCAAGCTCCAGCCATGGCAGCTATTCGACATACCTTGCAAAGAGAGGTATTCACTCTCAGCGATGAAAAACTGCTCAGCGTGTGCTACGTTAGCAAAGCTTACAAGAAGAAAAAGATGAGCTTTCTGTGTCTGGCAACAGCAACGGATACCCCAGGTACTCTCATATTGTACCAAGTGAAAAAGAATGACAAAAATGTTTATAAGAAGAAACAATCGTGGCCTCTGAGTGACATACAAATCATAGACGGGGTGAAAAATGATTCTATGGACATAGAGATACATATCGACAAAGTTTACAAGTGGTCGTCCACTACAGTGCAGGAAAGGCGAACGTTTATTAGTAATTTATACACCTATTCGTGTAGCCTGACTCAGAGGCCGGAATTCAAAAATATTCCCAAAGAGTGGCTGATCGATCCAACCGCCTTGAAGGAAAGCGATAGCATCACATTTACACCCGGTATGTCGTTCAATTTTATGATGCTTGCTAACATCTTCTGTTTATTTAATTACATTCACAAAAAAATTTATCATGTTTCTACTTAGTAGTATAAAAATTTGCAGATCTCCTGGCATCACCTATTAGTTCAGATTATCAACCCATTACTGAAAAGGAGGCTGTTGACTTAAAACAAATGATGGAAAATTGTGAATATGCCGTTTCCAATGCCGAGCTTTTTATGGAAACTCTTTCAAAAGATCTATCTATTCTTGATGGGGTAAAGCATCAATAATATTTAACTTTTCTTATAAAAAAAATACTGTAATAGAAATTTAAGTAATACAATATTGATATCGCGATATTAATATTTTATTCTATCCTTACTTAGGAAAATGTACATTCAGTCTTGGCATCAGAGCAGAGAGTAACGCAACTGATGAACAGTATAGACGCGGCGATAACCGAGGCCTCTATCGTAGAAGCGCGATTAGCGGCGTATGATGAAGCGTTAGGAAGAATAAGAGAAGTTATGGCACGAGTTGGGCAAAAAAATCAGGCTATACACACGGCGAATAATAATGCGAGGCTCTTGTTGGATAAGCTAAATCTAGTGGTTGTAAGTAAATAAGGACGATATAATTACAAATGATTAAGTTAATATTTTTATTATAATTACAAAACAAGATAGAAGTTTGAGGTATTCGATAGAAAATACAATTCTAAATATTTTTTGTAAAATTAAGAACAATTTTACAAGTACATGTAAAATACTTGTAAAATTGTGTAAAATTAAATTAATTATATTAATTATATATATGGAAATATTATTTGGAATCTGTGTAATGATCGTGGCGCAGAGTTATACGTCTGCTTTCTGTTCCGAAAACCCGGGTTCAAATCTGACAGACAATTTTTGGATTTTCACTCGATCGCCATCTCTTAGAAAGCAATGGCAAATCACCGAGAGTATATTTTGCCATGAGAATTTCTCTAATTAGTTAAGACCGTTCGAAGCGGCATTAAATTGTAGGTTTCGTATATCTGCGTAAATTATAAATAGCCCATAACACAGAAATACGATGAAAGGTCATCACGCTCCGACAAGAGTAGGACTGAGAAGAATTATTTGGAAAACTAAAAACTGAAGTTTATTTAATGTGAATTTATTGCATTTGCTACAATTATGCTCCTAGATAAAAACCATAATTAATTGGAAAACAATTTTACAAGTACATGTTCAGGTGGTCGTGTAAAATTTATTTCCACAAGCACATAAACATATACTTGAAAATTATTTTTTAATTAAGTTATTATGATTTTTATCTAGGGCAACAAAAGTGAAACAAATGCAATAGATTCACATTAAATAAACTTCAGTTTTTAGTTTTCCAAATGATATTTCCATAATAATTTAATTTGCTAGATTTGGTCCTGATTCTTATATTAAAAATAAATAGATATGATATATTTTATTACGGTACATATGGTAAATAAAAATTTAAAAATTTATGATATATAAAGTATCTTTACAAGAATTTTATAAAGAAGCAATTTATGAAGATATATAACTTTTTAATCAGAATTGAATTTTCTGTCAAATCTCAGTTTGATTCGTTTAAGGATAGTAATCTGTATAATTTTGTTTCCCTTCAAGTCGCAGTTAGATATTTCTGCAACACATCAACGTACCTTAAACGAAGCTGAGCTTCCAGGCGAGAGAGAAGAGCTTGGCCATGCTGGTGCAGCGCTCTTAAAAGCCATCACTGCACCTCTTCCATCGGGCTTAGACAAACTAAGCGCTGTCACCGAACAGAAAAGGCGATTGGACAAACTTAAAGCCAAATTCTCAGTCATTGTTGCTAGACATTTAAACAATCTTTTTATACATTTGGTAATTTCATAATTATTTTTAATATCTCTTTATTTTAATAATATATTTAAAAATTGAAAAAATATATGTATGTTTAAAATAGGAATATTTTTTCATTTTTAATCTCAAATTTTAGGGTAACGATATTGGAGATACATCTACTTCTATGACAGATTTAATATTACCGACTCATCAAGGAGTTCACAATGAGCTTGTACCGTATACCGAATTGATGCAGCTGCTGAGAGCATTGGATAATAAAGCCTTTGTACAATTGACTAAAGTCTATACCGATACCATGAGCAAATTGTACAAGAGAGATCTGAAACGTTTTTTTGAGGAAGCTAAGAATAAATTAATCAGTAAACGTTTACAAGGTAGAGCAATAGATTTGTTATGGTTTTTAAAAAATAGAACTAATGATTTTTATCAACTGCAGTATATATATAGAACTCCAGTTAATAAGTGCACAATAAATAAAATGATGGACGTCGTAATAGTTAAACTGCAGTTACGTGATTTGGCACTCTATTAAAAAAATGACTTCTCCAATTTAAAATTACCTTGAGTAAAAGCGGTTTTTTATTATTACTAAATCACTTATTTGTTATTGTTTTTTTTTATAACTAACGATTTTTATCAACTGCAGTAAAACTCCAATTAATAAATGCACGATAAATAAAATGATAGGCATCTTACTTCTATAATACATATAAAATTATATATAATTATATTCTTTTTTTTTTTTCTATTTTCACTTTTTTCTGCAAACATTAAAAAATGACAATTTTTAAATTATTGCAATAGTTAAACTGCAATTAATAGTTAAACTGCAGTTTAACTATTAATTGTAGTTTAACTATTGCAATAATTTAAAAATTGTCATTTTTTAATGTTTGCAGAAAAAAGTGGAAATAGAAAAAAAAGAAAGAATATACTTTTATTGCATATATGACATTTTTGTAAATTGTATGTATTAATAAGGAGATACGTTTTAATGTTTTAAGTATCTACATCGAGGTCTAGCGGTCAGAAGGGCGAAGATTTGCTTAATCCGGCGCCTATGTGCTTGCTGAGTGGCGAAGTGTGGACTCCGATGGACGAAGGAAATCTTTTGGATTCGGTCCTCGATTGCGTGCTTTCGCAGATGCAGCCAGTATGTCTCGCAGAACAAGGTTTCTGTGTCTCGTTTCTTCAATTGGACTCCGTTCTCTCGCCTTCCAAAGTAAGTATACCGATAAATGTTTATTATTACGACTTCTTACGAGTATGAATATTTATTTTGTGCAGAGCAGCGAGATGGAGGAGGTGGAGAACGTGAGTAACGGCGCAGCAAGTCCCGGATCGGTAACTTCGACGGCAAGCAAAAGACTGGAGCGTCAGGTGAATGAGGACGTGCGTGCGACTATGGCCGCGATATTTCCATCATTGGAAATCGAATTGAACAATTTTATCGGTTTTCTGGATAAAGTCGACAGCTTGTAAGTTGGGCTTTGAAAAAAAAGACTTCTCCATTTAAAATTATCTTGAGTAAAAGGGGTTTTCAATTATTATTAAATCGCTTATTTGTTACAATAATTTTTATAAAATTGTCATTTTTTAATTGTTTACAGAAAAAAATGAAAACATGAACACAAAAAGGAAAAAAAGAAAGAATATAAGCATTGAAATTTATTTCCTGGAAAATTTTGTTTTTTGAATTGTAGCATTGTTGTAGCAAATGCGATAATATAATATCTTCAATTCTTATTTATATCATATATGATACATATAAAATTATATATAATTAAAATTACCTTGAGTAAAAGCGGTTATCAATTATTACTAAATCGCTTATTTGTTGCAATAATTTAAAAAAATTGTCATTTTTTAATTGTTTGCAGAAAAAAATGGAAACAGAAAAAAAGAAAGAATATGCTTGTATTCATCTACAATCCGTTATTACTCTAAAATTACATTTCAAAATTAATATTTCAATATTTTAATAATTCAAACCATTGAAATTCATTTCCTGGAAAATTTTGTTTTTTGAATTGTAGCATTGTTGTAGCAAATGCGATATATATCTCCAATTCTTATTTATATTATATATAATACATATAAAATTATATATAATTATATTGTTTATACTATTTGCAGTTGGTGCCTGTATGTATTAGTGCGTTTATCGCAGCACGTCATGTCCGCTCAAGACACCGGCTCGTTTCTATCGATGACGTTCGCGTCCGCTCTGATCCACGTGAAACGAGCGTTTGACAAATTTATGCAAGCGCAACTGCAGTCGATATTGTGCGACACGAAAGTCAATCGTCGACACAAATGCGGTATATTATCGTATATAGAGAACTTCGGACCGTTTGCGAGAACCGCGGAGAAGATTTTCCGCAACTCTGACAGAAAGGTTGATCTCGAGAAGTGGTATACGAAGCTTGTGAGCACCATGTTCGAAGCTATTGTTATTCACAGCCGAGAGCACCACAAGACGCCACAGGAAGTCATAAAAATGGGTAATTGGAAAATTCAGTAATTAATAAAGTTACCTATCTTATTTATTAATAATTGTATGTAATGATTAATATTTGTCATACTTTGCAGAGAATTTTCATCATCTCTACGATCTCCTCTCGCAACTGAAAATCTCGGTTTTGGACCACGAGCGGAAGGAAGCTAAACAAAAATATCAAGATGCACTTCGCGCTTATGTTACGCAGTATTTTGGACGGCCTCTTGAGAAACTTAATGTAAATTGCTGTTTAAAGATACAAAGTATGATCGCGTAAGAGCATGTTTCTTAGGAATATTTATTTTTCAGCTTTTCTTCGAGGGCGTACAAGCGAAGGTAGGGGCCGGAGTGAAAGAATCAGAAGTCAGTTATCAGATGGCCTTTAGTAAGCAAGAGTTGCGACGAGTAGTGAAGGAATATCCAGCGAGGGAAGTTAAGAAAGGCCTGGAGAATTTGTATCGAAAAGTTGAAAAGCATCTGTGCGAAGAGGAGAATTTGTTACAAGTAAGTAGAACACAAGAGAGACGAGTGTCGGACTTCCGATGATTTAAAGATAATTGTAATATAAACATGAAAATGATTGTCTTGTCTGCTATAATTATTTTATTTATTTCTAACTTCTAATTTTCAGGTTGTTTGGCGTGAGATGCAAAATGAATTTATCGCGCAATATAGGAACATTGAAGAACTAATACAACGCTGTTACCCAGACAGCAATGTGACACTCGAGTTTACTATTCAGGATATCTTAGAATTTTTTTCGGAAATAGCACGATCTCATTAAATTAAAATACAATTTTTTTTCACTATTCCACTTGACTTGGCTATTAATATAATTATTATATTATTATATATTAGGAATGTGATTTAGTTTTGAGGATTTTGCAAGATATAGTACTAATGTCAATGTTGTCGAAGACATTCCAATCACAACTATTGTTTCTTAATGCTTCAATATTACTCCATGATATTTAGTCGTTTACTAACAATAGACGCATGTTTATACCCTTAAAAATGGAGCTTCCTAAAAAGTATTTTTGATCTCATTGATGAAGCAAACGTTATTAAAGCTGAAATGGGAAGTCTTACCGCACCTCGCAAATTCTCCAGATATTGCTCCATCTGATTATCATTTGTTCCCGTCGATGCAACATGCTCTAAAGGATACACTTTCATAATTTCAAAGTGCGAAAATTTGTTGAAAATTAGTTCAACTCCAAAGAGGAATCTTTTTATCGTCGCAGAATCCATCTCTTGCCAGACAGATGGGAAGTATTTTGACTAAGGTATTCGTATAATAAATCAGTTTTTGAAAAAAAAAATCTTCAAAACTAAATCACTCCGAATATAACAAATTTATATGTATAGAGATGTAATATAGCTGAGTATGTATATGTTGTATGTGATATTTATAAATATCTCAGATATCTATTGCAATCTTTTATCACGAAGAATCGTGATAGCACTCAACACCATAATAAAGATTTATTTTATTATTGCAGAATAATAATCAAGTAGTAGTAAAGATTCAATTTATAATGGTTGCAATATATTATTTATATTTAAATATATATTTTTCAGTTTTTATGAGATTGTATCATTTTTTAAGCGAGACATACATTTTCATAGACTAAAATCCCTTCCTAAACACATTTACAAGTATGAACTATTTATTGAGAAGAGTACAAGTTATTGCATGTTACACTTGCACAATAAAGTACATAATATTATCAACAGCTGTGTGGCCAGATTGCTTTCATATGTCTATATTTTCATCTAATACTTTATATAAATGTTTATTCAACTGGTTCTTCAGGTGGGCCATAGTTAAAGTAAATAATTCCTGAAAATTTTACCTGAAAATAAAATGTATGAATTATAAATTGTGTGCATAACCCATCTAATTTGCGATGCATAAAAAATTTTGAAAGTATAACTTAGAAATATGAGAAATTCTATTATAATATATATCAAAAGATATTATTACATTATTATATGCAAGAGTAATTTGATACATTTAATGTTATCTGAGGTAACATAAATTTGATACGTACAAAAGCTATGGTACCAATTAGGGCACCAAGACCACCGATTAATAGAGAATTGTAAACCTTCTGCCTTGCGTCGTAGTGTTCTTTCCATGGTCCACATGGTTGAGGTAAGTCATTTATCGTCGGTAATTTAACGTCCAATGCTTGCGAGCTAGCGGAACGAGTGCCTTTGCACCAAAAAATTGCAATTTATTAAATGAAAAGTGCATTATCTTTCTTAGACGCTCAGTTTACACATGCATTTATATATTATTTTTCATGTATTTATATATGTTTGTGGGCAAAGAGTGACAGCTCCACTTTCAATACAATTTTTTTCATTTCGAAAATGACAATTCAAATATCAAATCTTTCACAAATTTGAAATGGTTTCTGCTTCAGACAGAATGCCAATGCTAAACGTTATAAATAATCTCAAGTGAAAATTGTAGAAAGAAATAGAAGAAGTAAAATCTACTGAAGATAAATTGAAGATAAGAGACAGAGTGTGACAGCTCCAAATTTCAATACAATTTTTTCACTTCGATAATGACAATCACAATTCAAACATCAAATCTTTCACGAATTTGAAATAATTTCCACTTTAGGCAGAATGTCAATGCTAAACGTATATTATAAATAGTCTCAAGTGAAAGTTGTAGAAAGAAATAGAAGTAAAATCTACTGAAGATAAATTGAAAATTAAAGGCAATAAGTGTGACAGCTCCACTTTCAATACAATTTTCTCATTTTGATAATGACAATCACAATTCAAATATCAAATGTTTCACGAATTTGAAATAGTTTCTGCTTTAGGCAGAATGTCAATGCTAAACGTATATTATAAATGATCTCAAGTCAAAGTTGTAGAAAGAAATAGAAGTAAAATCTACTAAAGATAAATTGAAGATAAAAGAACAGATTTTCTCTGATAAGTTACATGAGTTTGTCATATACAGGCACATTAGCATTTCCTTAGAATTTAGAAATTATTTTCTTCAAATCTTAAGTAGTTGGCAGAAAACGTTAATTAAAGAATTTATCGTTACAAACAAGCGAAGGGACTTTACATTATTTGTTATCGCCGCGAGTTTACATTTAGCAGCATTCTCGTACAGAATAGCAGACATTATGTAAGGTATGGAGCTGATTGAACCGCGCATTTAAAGCAAACGATGCTGAAGCAAAGAAAAAATCTCACCGTTCCTCGTCAAGTTGCGAGCAATCGGTCGCAACACGTGATTAAGCATTTCGACGGGATTGATCTGCGCTCAATGCGAGAAATCTACGAAATTTAACACGGAACAGATGAAATCGCGTTGGCGAAACGTGAAAAGAAGATCCACGAATTTATCGTGCATAGAACATAAACGTACGTGATGAGGAATCGTTTGTCGTTTAATAAGAGTCACGTGATTATGAGAAATTACCCGCCATCTTGCGAGTTTCTAAATAAACAAAATAGTGCACTTACTGTCGATAACTGTGGAAGTGGAATTAATTGATAGTATTTCATTTTATTAATTTATTTTAATGTTCTTAAAAAGCTTGATATATATATATATATATATATATATATATATACAGGGTGATCCAGGTCACCCGGAGGAGCCGGCATCTACGTATTCCTCATGAAAAACTGAGTCGAAAATGTTAATAGCAAAATGTTGAGGTGTCAATGGTTTTTGAATAGTGAGCTGTTAAAACTGTCCAACCATAAGGCATTAAGAGCGCGCCGTCAGGTGTGGCGCATTAAATCGACGATCGGCCGGCGCGCGACGGGTATCGCTAAACGGCACGGTGCCGAACGAATACTGCAAAGGTTCGATGAAATCTCTATTAACATTTATTGCTCTTATTCTTAATTTGAGTTCAATTTAATTGTAGAAAAGTCAATCGCAAATTCAATATCATTTATATCGGTAGAATAAGTATGAACTCTTAAAATACATTTTATGTATTTTAAAACGATTAAATTAATTAATTATTTAATTTAGAAACGAATAAATTAATAAACAAAATCAATATTACCGTACCCGTCGCGCGCCGACCGATCATCGATTAATGCGCCGCACCTGACGGCGCGCTCTTAATGTCTTATGGTTGGACAGTTTCAATAGCTCACTATTCAAAAACCATTGACACCTCAACATTTTGCTATTAACATTTTCGACTCAGTTTTTCATGAGGAATACGTAGATGCCGGCTCCTCCGGGTGACCTGGATCACCCTGTATATACCAGGTTGTTCAATAAGTTTTGTCGTTTGATAAGAAAAACACGATTTTATGATTTGAAATACATTTTATTATTCAATATAATCTCCCTGAACTTCAACACACTTGTTCCAGTGATCTTCTAATTTATGAATTCCATCCCTAAAGTAAGAATCCGGAAGACTGTCGAAATACGCTTCCACGGCTGCTATTACCTCTTCGTTCGATAAAAATCGTTTCCCACGCATGAATTTTTTGAGATGTGAGAACAGTCAGAAGTCAAAAGGAGCTAAATCTGGCGAATAGGGTGGATGTTGCAACAATTCGTACTTTAATTCACTAATTTTCGCGATGATTTTTTGAGCTGTGTGAAAGAGTGTGTTGACTTGATGAAAAATGATTTTTTTCTTTTGTAAACCAGGTCTTTTCTCACGAATTTTTACATCCAGCTGGTCCAAAAGGTTACAATAATAATCTGCAGAGTTTATTGTTTTACCAGTTTGGAGATAATCCACGAACAAAATTCCTTTTGCATCCCAAAAGACTGATGCTAACACCTTCTTGGCCGATTTCTGGAACCCAACTCGCTTCGGAGCCGAAGTACCGGGTTCACACCACTCCTTAGCCTCTTGTTTTGATTCAGGATCATGGTGGTAGACCCTAAGTCTCATCCATAGTGATGAAACGACGCACAAAATCCTTTTTATCCTTCAGCTAAAACGCTCCAAATGTTGCTGAGAAAGTCGCACTCGAATGTGTTTTTGTTCCATTGTTAGCGAATGCGGCACCCATTGTGCACACAGCTTTCTGAAACCCAAACTTCAGCCAAAATATTGTTCACAGTCACACTGTCTAATGAGATCCCTAGGGCTTCTACTAAATCTCTCTCGGTTAATATATCAACGATCTTCCAAAACCATATCCGGTATTTTTGCTACGATTTCTGGTGTTGATGCACTTTTTGGACGTCCTTCACGTGGATCGTCTTCGAGACTTGTATGACCACGTTTAAATTCAGCAACCCATCTTTCTACTGTTCTAATTGAAAGTGAAGAGTCCTTATATACTTTTAACAATCGTGAATTCATGAATTTGTTTTGGTACTACTGCACCTTCCAAATAAGAATTTTATCACTGTACGATATTCAATTTTTTTCATTGTAAAAAAATACTGTGACACGTCAACTTTGAACAGCTGTAAATATACGAATGAGTTGACAGATCTACATGAAACTTTACACGTGTTTATAAAAAAGTAGTACCATTTTTAGAAAAATAAAACGACGAACCTAATAGCGCCATCTCTTATCGAACGACAAAATTTATTAAACAACCTGGTATATATATGTATATATATATATATATATATATATATATA